AGCTAGCTAGCTAGGTAACTAGGTAAGTACGTGGGTAGGTAGGCAGGCGGGCAAGCAGAAGGTAGCCGTCACAGTACAGCAGACAACTGCAGCACTCGCGCCACCAGTATCATTTGGAAGTTGTGAAGCTGTTCACGACAAACCCTAGACCCTAAACCCCCTAAACCCCCTAAACCCCCTGAACCCCCTAAACCCCCTAAACCCCCTAAACCCCCTAAACCCTAAAGCCTAAACCCCAAAAGTTTGCCCTCTTCACTCAGGAGCTGCCTTCCCCGACTTCAATGCGCTGGACCACTTGCAGGACAATGCCCGGTGCTCGTGTTCTCCGGATGTTTCGGGTTCCACAGAAGTCAACTCCTGCTCGCGATATCCATCATCGTCATCATCATTTTAAATGGTGGCGCAGAGGCTACTTTTAATGCTGGTTGTGGAGAAGATTGTGTTGATGCCGTTCCTGCTTCGCTGCTGCTTTTTCTTTCGGCTGCTGGTGCTGTTTCTGCTGCTGGAAATGACGATGACAATGGGAGTGTGATGAAGACAACTGGCGGGGCAAGTTGTTGTTGCAGTTTCGTCGTTGCTGTAAGCTTCAGATAGTTTAAACACATCCCTGACCCTAAACGCCTTGCAGCGGCCTTTTTCAGATATTATGGAACGCTTTCCAATCGCTGCCCAGTGGCCACAGGCGATTTTTGGGGTTTCGAAAGAAGGCCGTGGAGGTTCTAGCAGGGGTATTACTTGTACAAGGGCCCGCAGGTGTTCAGTAAGTGTTACCATCTGGTTACTTCAAACGATACTCAGGTTTAAAAATGGGCATTATGGGAGTGAGGTTATCCGTTACCACGGAGCTGTGTCCGAGCTGCTCTCAGCTACCCGGTATGACACAATCGCCCAGAATCTGGAGGCAGTCCTTCAGCATTTCAGCCGGTTGTAAAACGTTGCCTCTTACACTTATCTTCACCCCTCATGGTAACCGTAAACCCTAAACCCTAAACCCCAAACTTCAACCCTCCCTAAACCCTAAACCCTACACCCTAATAACCCTTAAAATGGCCCCTCAACGTACCCTGTCTTCCCCTTTCTGGTAACCTCAGCTTCGCTTACAGTAGCCTTTCTGCCCCGACCTCCAGAAGCCAGTTGGTCATATAATCATATAGTATATTCTTTAGGGTTTAGGGTTCGGGGTTCGGGCTTCAAAGTACATATACAGGGAGTACTTTATTCAGATATTCATATATGCTTTCGGGGTCAGGGTTTAGGGTTCGGGCTGCAAAGTACATACATAGGGAGTACTTTCAGCCCAACGTTGTTTTCCATATGAGTACATGGACACTTAGAAACCCTAAACCCCTGAACCCCTAAACCCTAGTCCCAAACCCAAAACTCTAAACCCTAAGCCCTCAACCCTAAACCCTACCTTAGGCTCCCAGAACCTACTTTTCTGTAGGTTATTAATTATTGTAAACCCTAATACAGAATTTATAGGGACCCTACAAAAAAGTAGGTTTTGGTAGCTTAAGGTAATCCCTTAATTATAGTAGTCCTTAACCTCGTCAGATCCCAGGTCAACGCCCGTATCTACGACTTGAGCCGATCGTCGTGGGACTTGCGCCGAGCCTCTTCCTCGATGTGTGCCTGGAGCGTAGGGTCTAGGAGTCTAGGCTGTTTCTGCAGGTTTTTCGGCATTTAGACTTTTAAGTTGAGGTCTTCAAAGGCGATTTTTTGGGGTGATTTGTTTAGGGTTTGAAGGGCTTGTATATGGGTTGTAGCTTACTTGGTTTTGGGGTTTTTGGGTTTGGGGCTGGCGGTTGAACTCAGTATCGCAATGTCTCAGCAAGAGTTTATAGGGAGTTTCGTGACTAAGACTGATGCCGTTAGTGAGAGCTGATGGGTATAGACGGTATAGTTTTGGTGTGTAAGCTTCTGCTATTAGTCGCAAAATGCGTCTTCATGCAATGAGCGACATTGCTCTGGACATTGCTGTGCCACGGGTCTTTGCAGGGTACTATTGTATCCCTAAACCCTCAACCCTAAGCCCTAAACCGTATCCCTACACCCTAAACCGTAAATCGTAAACCGTGTGTGGACTAGGTACCTCGCAGTCTAGAGCTTGGCACTGCCTTGACAACCTTAGCCTTTTTGTTGCATGACGCCGTGTACCCGGGGTTTAGGGTTTAGGGTTTATAGGCTTAATAGGGTTTAGGGTTTAGGTTAGGCTTCAATCGGACCGTATCTGGTTCCCAGGGGATCTAGGCATTGAAGTGGGTTGTGCAGCCTCTTCTTATCCAAGGTGTAACTAACAACAGCAGAAATAGAACAAGTAACAATTTTACGTAGAGGTTTCAGACCGTGGTGGAAGCCACCAAACCCTGAAACCTCCAGCCTAGGGTTTCAGGGCAAGGGTTGCGGCTTACGGGTTTAGGGTCATAGGGCTGTGTATTCAAAGACGACCCCGATACGGCTGCAAACACAAACCTATGTAGACAGTTCGTCGCAACGTGCTTACGTGGTCCAAAACCCTCAAACCTGCATACCAGTTTATATCCTAAACCCCCCACCTCGATTCCGCAATACAACCTGGACCTAAACTTTAACCCTAAACCCTGAACCCTAGACCTAAACCATGGGTCCCCGTACATCCCAGATCCTCAGCCCGATCTAAACCCCCAAGCCCTCAGCCCTGAAACCCGCCAACCATAAACTCTAGCACTGTCCAGAAGAACCCAAGATTCCGAAGCCCCAAAACCCAAAACCGACACTTCCCAACCCTAAACCCAAATCCTAAACCCCCAAACCCCGAAATCCCCAAACCTTCAGCAGCTCGACCTCAGATTCGGTCCATCCACTACACTGGACCACTGAAGTGGCATCCCAAGGTTTAGGGCTGTGTTTGGGGTGTTCTTTCGGGTTTAGGGGGCGTAGGGCTCCTTTAAGGGATCTATAGGGGCTCTGAGAGGTGTAAGTAGGGTGGCAGGGTTGAGGGGTTTAGCTGTTGTCTTGGGTTTAAGGGTTTTTCAAAGAGGGTTTTCAGACTCTTGGGGGTGTAGGGTTTACCTTCAGCTACCATAACCGACGTTTTTTGTAGGCTCTTATTATAAAACCCTAATATGAAATTTCCCGAAACCCTATAAAACCTCAACCCCAAACCTGGTGCAGTCACCAACAGGCCTTCAAAAACAAAACCCTAAACCTATAGGGAACCCTACCAAAAACTGTAGGTTTTGGGTAGGTTAGGGTAGGGTTCAGGGGGCTAAAGAGTTGACGGTTGACAGCGGCTTAGGGTAGAGGGCACGAGGTTCAACGGTTTCTAGGGTTTAGGGGTTTAGGGGTTTAGGGGTTCGGGGTTTAGGGTTTAGCATTTAGGGCGTCGGATCATGATAAAAACATGAAAACCCACAAAACGGGGCCGCTTTGTGGGATCCTCATGGCAGAAAGCCACGGGTTTAGAACCCGAATCTTGTTGAGGGCTGAACGTTCTCATGGTCTTGGGACTTAAGGATGTCCGGATTGGACGGTTTAGGGTTTAGGGTTTAAGTTTAGGGTTTAGGGTTTAAGCTTAGGCACGTATCCGAGGTATGTGGGGGAGGTGCCCGGTGCGGATTTCCAATGTCCAGGGGTTTTCAGAAACCCTCACGACGGCCGCTGCGGCGACTCTGCCTACGAGGCTCCTTCTGGAAGGGATGCCGTCCGTAGGAGAGCTCTTTGCGAATACTGCAGGGTGTTGTAAGGAGACTGGACAGCTGTTCCCATGGTTCGCTCTATTTACACGAGACTATGGATGATCACGCCAATGCTGGCGGCAGTTTGTCCTGGATGCCGGAGCAAGCAGTCGCGAGGCTTTCTTTTGAAACCGATGCCAAGGAAGCTCCGGACGCTCCATACTGGGCTTGGAGCTTGTATTGCAAACCGTGCAAGGTTGATGACAACCAAGACGCCCCTCCTGATGCGATCATCGCTGCAATGCCGCAAGGAATCCGACCAAAACTGGAGCGAGAGACCCATCAACAACAAATTGATCAACACATTAAAACAGGTCAACTTCTCGTCCGAATTCCTGGACATGAAGCGCATGCGCGACCACTTACTGTCTGTCTTACGATGACAGCGAGAAGAGCGCCGGTTGGGCGGCCATTTGCTACGGCGGCACCAAGGGAACTGGAAGAGCGGTATAGTCAAGCGCGAAGCCTTTTGGGGTGTCTGCATACACCGGATGTTGCTCAGAGTGCGTTAGGCTTTGGGGCGGACAGATCGCTTCGTTGTCTCCGTTCGCCGCATGCAAGCATGCACTTTGCGCTCCGAAGAGCATCTTCATCAAATATGAACGGCATCCCGAGAAGAAGGTTGGTGCTAAGGATGGCGCTTGATATGGTTTCAATCCTTTGCAGACTCGACCGACCCGTGTCACTATATGGGTCTCGAACATATAGTGATTCTGGGCTGTGCTTTGGGCACTTATGGAAGCTTAAACAGAGCCCTATGATCAGGGATTAGGGTTCAGCCTGTCCGTGATTTTAAGACGTTCCACCGACTAAGTGAGGCCTTGCTACACTCACGCGGAGGATTTTGCAGAGGAGGACTGGGATCAGCGTGGTGCCCAAAGCGCATGCGAGGTGACTGGTTGAGGCTTTCAGGTGCACCTTCAGTGGTCTTAGGGTCTTGTGGAAGCTGAAGTTTGCAGCTGGACCCTTGTCTGTAGAATACATACATACATACATACATACATACATACATACATATATATGCATGCATGCATGCATGCATGCTGTATGTATGTATGTATGTATGTATGTATGTGTGCATGTATATGTACATATAGTAACATACACTTTCTAGCCCATAAGGTATTTAGTACAATGTATATACTATATTATGTATATGGTACATAGCAGGCCAGATAGTATGTAGTATGCAGTGTATAGCATATAGTTTACAGTATATAGTCTACAATCACGACAGCTAGCTCGTTTTAGGAGCTGGCAGGAGTTGATAGAAAGAAGCCTCCGCCTACAAGATATTGTAGGGCCTTTGGGTCTGACAAACCGAAAGTCAAAGGCAGGGGCGGAGGGTCTCACACAGACCTCCCGCCTCAACTCTTCCCTTTGCGGCCCGATCTTTCATATCAGGGGGCCTTTCAGGCAGAAGCTGCAACTCAAGCTCCAATAGTCTTCCCAAGGACAGGTGTCTTAGAACTTACTTCAATACACCAGTCCTATCCCTGCAGGTGTGCTCCTGCAGCCACGTACTCTGTACCCTCTCATCATGCAGTATATAGCCTGCCTAGCCTTTCAGAGACAGGATGAGGCTGGCAAGGACTTGAATGCAGGCTCATGGCTTTGAGGATTGGGGTTTCGTTCAGAGGAGGGTTTTCAGATTCTGTGTCGAAGGGTTGTCCATGGAGCGATTCGGGTTAAGACCGGGACTTCGCATACGGATTGCTGAAATCATTGCTGAAATCAAAAACAGGGCTTGCTTGAGAAGAGCTTGCATTGGTTGTTTTACAAGATCGTATTTTTTAGGATTATACCCACCGGAGTGTGAAGCAGTCGGGATTTGCTTTGTCTCACGGGGCTCCTAAGCTGCTTCTACCAGGGTTCCGGACTCTCGAGATTCGAGATTGGCGCTGTGTTGCCGTTCGGGTTCGTTGGGGTTGGGCTTAGCGACTCTTTCGTGTTCACGACCCTGAAAAGTAGAGGCTCTTGACATGAAGCATCCTTTTAAACCCCTTCAGGATCTACAAGTTTCCGTGTTCGTCTCTCAGATCAGTGTCCGTCGCAGTGTGGTCGTCATAGCCATTACCATTTTGTTGGCTATTTCTGATTTCTGCCAATGTGGCCGAATGTAACCTTTCAATACCCGCATATTCTACGTACATATGGGTAAGGCAGGGACACTACCAGTGACACGTAGATGGGCAGAGGAAGGGAAATTAGCCGCAGCAAAAGCTACCTTTGCAAGGCCTGCGTCGGGGTCGGCTGTTTGGCTCTGTATGCGCGTGCTGCGCAGCATCTCTTCCCAAAAGGTGGAGGCGGGGTGATTATCCACTTTGGAGGTTCGGGATAAAGGCTTGCTCGGGATGTAGGTATTTGCGGTTCAGAACCTTGTTTCTGAGCCCAGCGCCTTCTTGGACATGGCCCTGTCCTTTTCAGCTGCAGGGGCTTGGAGAACCTGTCCGGCAATGTCCGGATAGACGGTTTGGGCATCAAGATCGTCGTAAACCTAGGGCCACGGATGATAAGAGGATCCTTCAATGTATTTATGTATATAATATAACTGTATGCTTATACATATTGATTTCTACAATATGCATATATATGTGTATATGTATATATATATATGCGTGTGTGTGTGTGTATGTGCATATGTACTGGTTGAGTTTTTCACATGGTCTGGGGCGTTTTCTTCCAGGTATCACCCAGATACTACTATCATGAGATCTCCATGCGGTGACCGGTCTTCTCATAGCTGAAACATTAAGCTTGAAGAAGTGATTTTTCTCGATGTTTATTCAAGAAGTGACAGCTTTGCCTCTATGATACTCGAGCATAAACTGTCCTGGCCCAGGTCGCTGAAGGCTTTTCGTCTGAAGATGGAGTCTTTGTAACATCGTGATGATTAATTCTCGGTACAGAAACACGAATTGGCTTGGGTGTTAAGACTCTTCAGATGTTGTGCAGCGTGGACGTCGCGCCGACCCTGGGACCTTGATCCGATTTTGTCTCTAACGGTATGCCGAGTTTAAGTTTCTGAATTCTTCAACGCTTCGCGGTTCACATGCTTAGGCTTAGGCGTGACGCTTCAAGCACTGATGCGCCTTGGGAAGGACTTGGACTTCTCCGACCCGAGCCCTGCGCAACCTTCCCCATGGAGCGGCTCGTTCCTCGCCTTTTGAGATCTTTGCACCGTACACACATGATCCTTTCGTTAAGCCCGACAGACGGCTGAATCCCAGACCTCGAACTTTACAATGGATCTCTGGAGTTTGCTTCAGTTGGCGGGTCGGTCAGGGCTTCCACGATGTAGACATTGATATGTGATGTGTGCATGGGATGGGAATGGGCTGTCCATCAGGAGGGTGTAGGGCGACAGAGGGAATTCGGTTCGGAGTCATCAAGGTTTCTGTGCCTGGGAGTTCCATTGCGGCTGACACAATGAACCCACGAACGCTTGTCCTCGGCCTGGGTTTAGTTTTGCGGCTTGGCACATTGCACGTTGAATCGCGACTCTGCTCCTTCAGGTCAATCTCAGCAGTGTGGCCAGAGATGCGGAAGCTCAGGCGCGACGGTGAAGATTGCTTAGAAATTGGTGTATAGAGCTGAGAATTTTGACCAAGACCATCTTTGGTTTCTTGCTCCGACCCAGACCGCTGCCAGCAGCCGTCTTATCACTCAAAGTGTCCATCTCAACGAGCGTCTTCACGTGCGGATAGTTTTCAACTCGGCGGACCCGGCACGCCTAGGCGAAAGTTCGTAATTCAAAGTCTCAGTCTTCAGGCTAGAGTTGGCAGAACCGCAGAGTCATCGAACCGTGTTGGTGATTGCTACGAAGCCAAACTTAAGGCTCCGAAGCTCAACAGGCAGCCAGAAGGTGTTCCCGGGGTAGAGGCTTCAATTTTGGATTCACTGGGCTTCACAAGATATGACTTGTTAACTCTCGTGTGCTGAAAATTTCCCTGAACCCTAAACACGTAACAACCGGCCTGACCAGGCTTCGAAGTATACCGCAGACGACTACTTCGTGCTGGAGGTGCGGTTTGCGTCGCAGAAACCTGCAAGGCTAGCTCCGTGATGACTTTCTGAGCGAAATACCCGAAGGAAGCTAAGATTCCGGAGTATGACTTCATATACAAAACTGGAAGCAGACCCTTCAGAGGCCAAGCCTATAGCGGAGCAATAGCCTATGGTGGTTTGGTTCATGGGGTGAAGTTCCTGAAGGTGTCAGATAAAGCAACCCTGACCACAGATACACCATGGTTTGTAGTAGACGTGTACATATACTACAGACCCAGTCTGTTGTTTGAAGCGTTCCTGCACCTGGTTCCTCTCCAAACCACCTAGAACTGGACCTCCGGACAGTCATGGGGCTTGATTTGATCAAGGAGGTTCCACATCCTGAGCACGCGACGTCAACCCCGTCATGATCGCCATAGCTACCGCAATGTGAACCCCGCCGTTCAGCCAGGGTTCTTAGTTCCGTGGCTTCTAGGTCCCTGGGGCTTGTAAAGCTCGACGAAAGTTCGAGGCCGAGGCGGTCATTGCCAAAGCTCTCGCACGGCTCGAGGCTGGTGGCCTGTTGGGTGTTTAGTTCGGTCTCCAGTCCACTTTCAACTACACACTCCCAGAAGCAATCTCATCTTTTTGGAGCCGTTCTCCGAGCCTTCAACAAAATGCCTGGATACTTAATAGCCGGGCTTCTGTACTTCTAAGCCCGCATGAAGACGTAAAGCCTCGCGTCTGAAGTTTAAAGACCTTGGGCCCCTGCTTCATCAACATCACCCTATGTTGCTTCAAACCTGGTCATCTTCTGGACGGGGAGCCCGTAATAGATCCTGAATTGGGATCTTTGCTAGCCCCCTTCTCAACAAACTGACAACAAACTGACGACCACTTGCAGGGTCGGTCTGAGTATGAACGTGACTCCGACTTCTGAGGCCTGAAACCCCTTTGCTCCCACCCCTGTTGCAGAGCTAGAATCTATAGGTCTTACATTGCAGCTCCATCAAGCTGAGATCCGGAGTCATAGCCTACCCTAGGACACTACCCTGAACGCCAAACCCGCACTCGCCCCAAACTGCCCGAACCTTAAACCAAACTGCCCGAACCCTAAACCGACATACCAAGCCTGACTAGACAAGACTTTTCATCTGCAGCCTTGAGGCGCCAAATGCCGGGGCGGCAGCCCTAGAAGCAGCAAAGGACGGTGCTGGCACATTGGAGCTTGGCCTTAGGGACCGAAACAGCGCATAATGTAGGAATAGTGCATAACAAAACAATTCCCCAATCGACTTATGCCTTGGAAGAGTAGCTACAGTATAAACGCCATGTTGTTACGTGAGAGGCCCACACACTGAGCAGAGACTATCGACATCTGCTCCCGTATGGCGCCGTATGGGGACAGTACTTTGAAGCAGTTCATGGCTCGGCCCGAAAGCTCCGCTAGGCCTGAAGCTGCCCCGAAAACCCACCCTAAACCCAAAACCCGACCTAAAGATCCTAAAGCCTCAACCCTAAGCCCAAGCACAGAAGAGCAAAAACGAATTCAACGGCGCGTAGGCTGTGCAGAGTTCTAACTGATTCTAACTGGGGCTTCTGGGTCTTGGAGGTCGGAACTGTTGAAACCTCGGCGGATCTCGGCGGGGCGGGCGTGTGCGGATGTGTGTGTGTGTAGCCTGTATTGGAAGATATTCGAAGTCAAGATCCAAGATTGACGGCATCGCGCAGCTACATTCTTCATACGGTGAGTTGATCTGCACAGCATGTCCGCTGCAGGTCAATATGTTTTGATATCTGGTGGCTGCAGGAAGTGACAATAGCCCCCGACGGGATACGTGACATATGCTCTCACATACACAGAGTAGACAAAGTCGCGGCGCGATATGAGGTAACATATCTCGGAGTAGACATTTTGAGGCCTATGCAGCTTTGCGACCTGTTTACTTTCATTTCGGCTAACGTCCTATAAACTCTACAAAGCTACAGCCCCAAACGCCCAACCTTATTAAACCTTCAAGCTCTCGTTCCTCGAGGAGCTGCGCAGCACGCCCGTTTTTGCCGAGGTGCTTTGCAGCCCGAGGATTAGGAATGTGCGAGGTTCGGCATTGAAAGCCTTATGCCTGTCTTGGGGTTGCAGGGTTTGGTACAGTAGCGACGGGCTGCAAGCAGCGACTAAACTTCTCGCAAGTGTAATATGGACCCGACCAGCGCACCAATCCTCGCATGTTCAAAGCAGCAGGCATCCCAAAGTACATCTGAGGAGCCGAGCTACTGAACACAAGGACACGGTCGAATCGAGGTAAAACAAGTCGAAGGCTGAAGCAGCAGTCTCAATCCTGCAGTCCTCGAGGTAATCCCCAAATAATCATGTGGGTGTTTCTTGAGCAGATAGGAACATAGATATGTTGGGAAGGTCATGTGGTGTTCCAGCTTCTGTTAGATTGAAGGATGGCGTGGAATGCCGATGTCTCTCTAGAAACACTCAGGGCCTTTCTGGACTTCCTGTCGAAGGCGACATTGGAAGTTGACCGCCCTTGGCAACCAGGTACAGCGCGTGTCCACCCTTTACGACTCTGCGCGAGCAACGCTTCAGCCGACGAGGTGCCATCTTTGGTGTGGGGGGGCTCTAGCCGCAGTTGGCCTTTGAATCTTTCCAGTGTAAGTATTATTGGGCTACAATTTGAATAAATGGCATGTCCTGCGGCAAATGGTGAGTTGAACACAGAAGTCATAGGTCGCAAGGTAAAGAAAAGAACAGCAGCGGCCCGTCGTCGCTAGAGAGCTTTCCCTGCTTGCCCAGGTTCAAGCAAGTTTGGGCGAGGCCCGATGCAGCCGCTGCGTCAGCAAGAGAATCTAACGATCATGGTGGTGGCCTGGAAACTTAGCAATACTGACATGCACAATTAAGATAGCAACAAAAGTTCCTGGAATATTACACTATATCTCACACACATATAATATATATATATACACACCTTACACACACACATATATATATATACACATATATCTAACTAATTCAATACATAAATGAATAAATAAATAAATACATAAATAAATAGATATAAATATAAATATAAATAAATATAAATATATATATATACACACACCCGTAAAATGCTCCAAGGCCTGTTCGGTGATCGTTGCGATGATGACATCAGGAAAGAATCGTCGCCACCGACCCCTGCAAAATGCCTTCATTCTAATTCTGATGTGACAGTTTTGACTGGTAGGTCGAGTCGGGTTCATCCGGCTTTTGCATCTGTGGAACAGATGTTCCCGGAGAGCAGCCCTAAAGCCCCTCAACAGACCCTACATTGCGAAAGCATGAAGCGTATCAGCCCTGAACCGGTATTGCTTATGCGACAATAGCTATCCCTTATATAAACCCAAGCCCCATGAACCGCTTTCAGGAGTTCTACGTCCGCTCGGCGCCGGGTGCTTCGTGGTTTGAGTACAAGGCCTGCAGTAGTCCCCAACATGCCCACATCTCTGGAAGCACAAGCAGCACTCTGTAAGCCCTCTGCCTCCACATGTTAGTTGATAAAGGTGTGACAGCGAGGCTGGCTCGAGAGGCAACACCTCATATGGCTCGAACTTGAGACTCGCTTCCCTTCAACGAAGAAATAGTCCATCCTCGTTGAAGAGAAACACTTCTCCTTCTTTAAGGCAGGGACAAGAGTGCCCTGCTCAGCTCTGAATGTTGGTGGGTCGTATATAGGGCTTGTGTAGCCGAGGAGTTTGAAGAGGGAGTACTGCCTGAGCAATGCGCAACAGCATTGCAGATTTTTTTCCGAAACTGTTCTGCCATCTGCATGTTGACGCTTCATTATTCTCAGACATATACTTCAACAGCTGCGCATTGCACCAAATTCTGGTGTTAAGTCACATCATGAAAGGCGACTCCTTCCAGTCTAACTGGCTCGCCGATACATGCAGATCTTCAGCTTGTGCAGCAATAGTTTGGCCCGCTTTATCGGCACAGGGTTGGCCTCAACCACCAAAGCTCCGGCTCAGATCGTGGCCCAGATCGATCACCCACTTGTGAATTGCATGGCGCCGTTGTCACTCGGATGAGCTTCAAGGAGGTTGTTAATGTTGAAAAGACGATGGCTCAGTGCTTCAGCCTCATCGTTGCCAGCCGGTAACCTTCAGCGAGGAGACATGCTATCGCAGAGAAAGGCCAGGGGTCCCATCAGGCAGCATGATAGAGCAAAGACTCCAAGCACACAGCCTTTTACCCACCTTCTACTGTGCCATGTTGCTTTCGATATCGACTCTCGGTTCACAAGCTGGTGAACCACAATCTTCTTCTTGTCGCTGCTAATCAAAGTCGCCCACTAGTAACTCTAGTAATTACGGAACACGTAGGGTACTAGTGCAGCCTGTGTGCGGGACCCGAAATTCCATGCATGTGTATGCGAGATCTAGATACTCGCACATAGCCATAGAACATACATACATACATACATACATGCATACATACATACATACATTCGTGCATGCATGCATGCATACACACATACACACATATTATGCATGCATGCATGCATGCATGCATGCATACATGCATACATACACACATACACACATATTATGTATATATATATATGTATGTATGTATGTATGTATGTATGTATGTATGTATGTATGTATGCATGTACGTACGTATGTATGTACGTATGTATGTATGTAAGTATGTATGTATGTATGTATGTATGTATGTATGTATGTGTGTTTGTATGTTTGTGTATATGAATGAATTTACATATATATATATATGTTTATTTATTTATTTAAGTGTGTGTGTGTGTGTGCATGGGTGCGTGCGTGTGCGTGCAGGCTATGAAACAGTGCGTGCTGTTTGATTGGCTTTTAAGCGGATGTGGCTTGCGGCTTTATCTAGCCTATCTAGCCTGAGCACCGCGAAGGCACGAACGAGAGCTGATCTTGACGCTCGGCAATTATTGGGAAGATAGTGTAAGTCCACGCATGCTTCGATTTACACGATTGGTCGCATTATCGATGGTAGTGAGATGCTTGGAGCGGAAAGCTTCTGCCGAAAACGCCCATTTCCACCGCAAACAGCCCGAATAATCAATCTGAACCAGCCGGGAGTACGAAGCAAGAACATCAACTCGAAGTCTCTCTAAGTCCACGCTTTCGGATCTTAGCCCATGGTTGACATGCAGGATTCAAGTCCCACGCAGAGCTATGCTGCATACTCTACGCAGCTATGCTGTATCCTGCACTACACCCCGGGCGGTCATGAAAGTGGTTTGGGTAAGGAAGTACCAGCCCGTCTTCGTGGAGCCTCACAGGGATCTGATTCCGCCGAAGCCGCACCATGCTATCGTGCCTGGGTCGGCATGCATGAAGCAGAAGCCATCCAGAAGGGCTGGCCATGTAGTTTAAGGCACGTGGTATATATGATCCCGGTTCTCGGTTCACCGACCCCACCGTGACTGTGTGCACTTCTTCCATAAGGCGGCTCCAAAACCGTCAACTGTCACGAGGATTTGTTCCCAAACACACCCGGTCCTTGTGACAGGGCACACTCTCCAATCACGACTCCGACATCAGGATTTAAAACTGCAACTGTCACGAGGATCGCGTTCCTGACAGGCCCCGTTCCCGTGACGGTTGACCCAAGAAAGGAACCGGATGAACACAAATCCCTGTGACTGTGCTCACTCCTTCCATATGGCGGCTCCAAATCCGTTAATGTGGCGGCCCGAATAATCACAGTCCCCCCCCCCGACCAAAACTTTCGGCTCGAATAATATGTGATCGTGGCCCCTTGGACCAAGGTTCGTAGACTAAGTTAGAAGGTAGACTAAGTTAGAAGGGAATTGGGGGATCTTAAGGATTTCTGGGCTGGCTTGGTCAAGCTTTGACTAAGTTAGAAGGGAATTGGGGGATCTCAGGGGTTTCTGGGCTGGCTCAGGGAGTTTCGGGCTTCAGTGTTGTAGG